ACAGAATTCCAATGTGAAATTTCGAGTGCTATTGGGCAGATGTTGCATGTTACAAGACATCAAGAACCCACAGACAAACATGGTGGCCACGATGCTCATGTTCCTTCAGTCTCTACCTGCCCAAGGACAAACTGTGAAATTTAGGTGCAGCTCACTTCTACTTTTGCTAATAGCCCACTACTAATGGGATATGGTAGTTACAGTTATGGGACAGAAGACAAATTTGGAGAGGGTCAGGAAATATTGCAATGTAAAAAATAAGCTTAATTTGCATACCTCTCTCATATTTTACTTCTTCAATTTGGATTTACTGTTTATTCATTAATTCAATAAACATTTATTAATGGATGTGGTGGCACATGTTTGTAATCCCAGCACTCAGGAGGCAGAGGTAGGAGAATCTCCAGTTCTAGGCCATCCTAGGATACATAGCAAGATCCTGTATCAGTAAAACAAAACAAAATCAAGTGCTTGTATATATGCTAGGCACTGATCTAGTTTCTGGGTATAACTACAGTGAACAAGACAGTGAAAAAGTCCTTGCTTTGTAGAGTTTATGATTGACAGCAAACAAAACAAAATGTTGTATGCATTGGCTGTGGTGGTACACACCTTTAATCCCAGCACTCTGGAGGCAGAGACAAGCAAATCTCTGAGTTCAAAGCCAGCCTGATCTACACAAAGAGTCAAGGCTACAAAGTGATAGATATCCTCTTTCAAAATGACCCCCCCCCATAATGTTGTATGCTATGTGGTGATAATCCTAAGAGGAAAATCACACTACGGAAAGGACACAGGAAAAGATCTGATATATAAGGCTTGTGGTACATGCCTGTAATCCTAGCACTCAGGAAGCAGAGGTAGGAGGATTGCTGCAAGTTTAAGGTCAGTCTATCTTCATAAGAATTCCAGGCCAGCCAGGGCTAAATAGCAAGGCTATCTCCACAAAGAAAAAAACAATAAAAATAAAAGAAGAAAGGAAAGAAGGAAGGGAGGAAGGACTTGAAACTTTAGATGGAGGTGATTACTAATTTAGGTTCCAGAGAAGGACCCTCTAAAAAGATGGTGCTTGAACAAACACCTGAAAGAAATGAGAAATGTGTACACGAATATCTGGGTACACAGGTATTTCAATTAAGAAAATATAGAAAGGTATGTGAATGTCTGAGATTTCTGGGGAACAACACAGAATCCAGGGTGCCTAGAACAATGTTAGGGAGACAGTAATAGAAGATGACATCACAGAAAGAATGGTGGGGCCATAACTCCAAGCCCAATAAGCAATCCATGGTAAGGACTTTGGGTTTTTTCACTCTGCACAAGATGGTGAAATGCTTAAAGAGTTCAAGCAAAGGTGTAACTGGAAATGACTTATTTATCATAACACACTGATTGCTGGGTTGAGAATAGACTGAAAAATTGAATCCTCTACTTCTAAGATGAAAAAAGGCACCATGAGATTCCTAAAGCTTAACATCTGACTCTTCAAGCCAAATCAATCTCTGCCCTTTCTGTTTTAATATTTAGGACTGCAGGCAAGCCAGAACATAGAAGGCTCACTCTTCTTACAGTGTGCTGAGATGTTTACTGAATGAAGGAATGCTATTGATTGAAGATTTTTCAAAATAAAGAGAGAGACAATGGTTAATTATCTGTTTGAGAACTTCTGAACAGGCTGAATATGTGCTATTAACAGTGCTGATAGCCTAAATTTTCTATTGAAAAAATATGATTTATCAAAATATTTACCTGTGTGGTGGCATTCATTTCTTTTTGTCTTCTATTATATCTTTCTGCTTCAATATCTGCACTACACAAAGCACTTCTATAAAATTTGAAGACATTAACAAATCCCACAAAGTGCGGCTTCTAATTGAAAAACTTTCTCAGGAAGTTAGAACTCTCATAATAAAAGTTGAAAGTAGTTTAAAATTTAGATTTATGTATTAAAATAATTTCTTCAGTGATTTTTTTTGGTGTTTTTGAGACAGGGTCTCCCTGTAGCCTCAGCTGGCCTGGAATTCACTATGTAGACCAGGTTAGCCTTGAACTCACAGAGATC